AATTTCCTTTTCCTTTCTCTTTTGTGCTAGTGGTGCAGTTTGAACTCAGCCTCTCACTCTCATTTGGTGTTTTTGCTAAGGGCTGACACTCTACCACTAGAGCCATACCTCTTCTTCCAGTTTTTTGATGGTTAATTGGAGATGAGTCTCTCAGTTTGTTTGCCCAGCCTGACTTTGAACCAAGATTCTCAGATCACAGACTCCTGAGTAGCTAAGATTGTGGGTGTGAGCCACCAGTGCTTGGGAAATATGGGAAATATTTCTGCCCACTGTCTAGAACAGTGCTGTCTAATGAACCCACCTTAAATGTTAGCACTTTTCCATTTGTCTTCCCCAGAAGAAAATCTGGAAAATAGAAAGAAGTCCCCACAGGGTCTGCCTAACTGCTGATCAAGCACTGGAATAATAGGATATTTCTTGTTCTTTTAATAATCTAATTTATGGAGTTTCTAAGAGTTTATATTTTTTTTGGAGGGGGAGGGTCCGGTCATGGGGCCTGAACTCGGCCTGGGCACTGTCCCTCAGCTCTTCAGCTCAAGGCTAGCGCTCTACCACTTGAGCCACAGCACCACTTCTGGCTTTTTTTTCCCTGCTTATGTGGTGCTGAGGAATTGAACCCAGGGCCTCATGCATGCAAGCACTCTACCACTGAGCCACTTTCCCAACCCTTCAAAAAGGGTTTGTTTTTTTTTCCCCCAGTCATGGGGCCTGAACTCTGGGTCTGGGTGCTGTCCCTCAGCTCTTCAACTCAAGGCTAGTGCTCTACCACTTGAGTTACAGTGCCACTTCCGGTTTTCTTGTGGTTTATTGGACTATCCTGCCAGGGCTGGCTTTGAACCGTGATCCTCCTGAGTCAAGCTAGGATTACAGGCGCCTGGCATAAATGCTTTCTATTTGTTAACATGGTATCAAAGCTGTCCTTTCTTTGTTAACTTCCTTGACCAGTGTCTTTACAAGTGACAGGAGGGTCAATAAATCATTTCCAATAGTATGGCTTGATTTATTTGATTTTTCTATTTAGGGGAATTTTGGTTGTCTCCAGGTCTTAAAAATTACCATGGTTTAAGACCATGTCTATGGATTTTTTTTTTTTTTTTTTCCGGTTGTGGGGCCTGAACTCTGGGCCTGAGCACTGTCCCTCAGCTCTTCAGCTCAAGGCTAGCGCTCTACCACTTGAGCCACAGCACCACTTCTGGTTTCTTTTTGCTTATGTGGTGCTGAGGAATCGAACCCAGGGCCTCAGGCATGCAAGGCAAGTGCTCTACCACTGAGCCAACTTCCCAGCCCTCTATGGATTTTTAAATTGAAGAAATGGTTATAGTAAGTACCACTATTGACTGATATACAATGATCTCCAAGTTACACTGTGACATGAAAAAGAATGGTGTTGTACTCCTAGGGAGATACCTTTAACACAAAGGCTACTGAGAAAGAAGAAGAAATTGGGTGTTATGGTTCATACCTGTAATTCTAGCTACATATAAGGCTGAGATCTGAGGATAGATGAAGCCAGCCAAGCAGAAAAGTTCAAAAGACTCTTATCTCCAATTAACAAGCAAAAAGCTAGAACTGGAGGTATGGCTCAAGTAGAATACCAGCCATAACTGAAAAGGCCAAACAGAAACACAAGGGCCTGCATTCAAGTCTTGAAAGGGGAAGGGGAGGAAGAATGGATTCCATCCAGCAGAGATAGGGGTCATGGACTGTTATGTCTATTTGCATATGAGGAAATAAGAACTCAGAGATTGCCCTCAAATTCTGCATTAGAAAGGGCAGAGGTGAGCCAAACTGATGACCCAACTGCTGTTTACATGTGTGGTGGGGATTTCAATTACATGCAGTCCAGATTTGACACCATCAGATTGGATTGAATCAAGTTGAATTAGATCTTTTCAATGAAAGTAACTTCTTTCCTTCTGAGATTTATCTCTATTTCAGACAATGGTTTGATATCTGAAAATTGTGAGGAGTTGTAGCTTGCTCCAGTGATGAGATATGAACAGCTCATTATGACATCTCAGATACCCATGACCTGTTTCTCTTACCAAAACTGCTTCTGGAAGGCTTCTGTACTCCTCACGTCAGCAGAGGGAGCTGGGAGCTATTTATTTCTTTATTTCTTTTGTATTATGTTTATGTGTATTTATTTTGGTGCCAGTCCTGGGTCTTGAACTCAGAGCCTGGCTTGGGCTCTGTCCTTGAGCTCTTGTTCACAAGGATAGCCCTTTACCATTTGAACCAGAGCTCTACTTCTGAATTTCTGCTGGTTTATTGGAAATAGAGTCTCATGGACTTTTGCTCACAAGCAGGCTTCAAACTGAGATCCTCAGATCTCAGCCTCCTGAGTAGCTAAGATTATAGGTGTGAGCCACTAGACGGGAGCCATTTAAAACCACAATTCCCATATCACCTCCAGTTCCTTTTGAGGTGGAATATCTGTTAGAGGAGAGGGAAAGAGGATTTACAAAAATATTTTGAAAACTTTTTTTGAGTTGAAATGCTTCTTCCTCTCCTCCAGAGTTGTATTCTCTATCCTCCAGTAGAGGGCACCATTTCTTTACATTTTCCCATTTCTAAGGTTAGAAATGATCTGTTTTTGTCATCTTAACAAGAAAACCTTTATTATAATTTCAATACAGTGCATAATCAGTGTATAATAATTAAAAGCAACCATAGAAAAAAGGAGAAAAACTTTTTATATAGTAAAACTACTGGTTTCATAGATGATGACCATTAGTATTACGTCATTAGGATGTAACCTTCCAGACTTTTTCCCCCTAGTAGATCTACATACCTTAAAAAATAAAGTTATTTGGTGGTAGAGATATAACATGCCATAATCTTTTTCTTTTCTTTGAGACAAGGTCTCATGTAACCCAGGCTGGATCTGTATTTTGATTTTTCCTTAGCTTCCTGAGTGTTGGGATAAGCAGGTACTACCACACTTGGCTTGAATTGGGAATTTTTTTTTTGTGTGGTTATAGGGTTTGAATTCAGGGCCCCAAGCTAGGCAAGAACTCTATTAAACCACAGTTTCAGCCCATTTTTGTGCTGGTCATTTTGGAGATAGTGTCTTCCTTCCTGCTCTGACACATGCCTGAACTGTAATCTGCCTGTTTTAAGTGTCTCATTGTAGCTCAGGATAACAGGCACACATCACCAAACTCGCTCTCCATTGTGAAAGACTTGAAAACTTTTCTGTCCAGGCTGGTCTTGAACTGTGATTCTCCAAATCTCAGTCTCCTAAGTAGCTAAGATTACAGACATTAGCTATCAGTACCATGTTTACTCATATAACTTAATTTTTTTTTCCAATACTGGGGTTTGAACCTAGAGCCATGCACTTCCTTGGCTTGCTTGCTCTAACATTCTACCATTTGAACTAGGCCTCCAGCCCAGATTTTGCTGGTTCTTTTGGAAAAGGAATATTGTAGACTTTCTGCCCAAGATGGCTTTGAATTGCAGCCGTCTGAAATCTAGCCTCCTGAATAGCTAGAATTATAGTTGTGAGCTACCAACTCCCAGTCAAAAAATAAAAATCTTTTTTTTTGGGGGGGGTCAGGCATGGGGCTTGAACTCTGGGGCTTGGGCGCTGTCCCTGTGCTCTTCAGCTCAAGGCAAGCGCTCTACCGCTTGAGCCACAGTGCCACTTCTGGTTTTCAAGTAGTTTATTGGAGATAAGAGTCTCACAGACTTTCGTGCCTGGGCTGGCTTTGAACTGTGATCCTCAGATCTCAGCCTCCTAAGTAGCTAGGATTACAGGCGTGAGCCACTGGCACCTGGCAAAAATAAAAATCTTAAGTGAATAAACTTGATAACTTTTCATGAAGTGAAAGCAGCCTTATGAGCACCATAAGTATCTTCAGCAGGCCTTTCTTGCCTTTTCACAATCATTTTTATTCCTAACCATAACCACTATTTTGCCTTCTAACATGAAAGAGTAGTTCTAACTATTTCTGAACTGTAAATGTAATCATATAGTATATACTCTTGATTCTGGCTCTTTAGTAAGATTTATTCGTGTGTGTGTCATAATAGTTCACACATTTTATCTACTAATTTTGTTATATGAATTTGTCATAATCCTGTATACAAGGAGTTGGCAAACTTTCTGTGAAAATCCAGATATTAAATACCTTAGGCTTGGTAGCCATGCAGTATCGCCTTGACTCCAGCTTTGCTTTTGAAGCTCAAAAATAGCCATCAACAGTGTGTAAGAGAATGGACATGGCTGTGTTCGTTATTTCAGTTAAACTTCACAAAAAATAGATCTGGTAGTAGTTACCAACTATTGCTTTTCCTTAAAAAAAAGCCAACATGGGATCATACTGTGAAATTAAACTTTTTAAATTTCATAAATAGAAGAATTCTACCTAGGTTGGTGTTGATAGCTCACACCTATGATCCTAGATACTCAGAAGCCTGAGATCTGAGGATCAATGTTTGAAGCTACCCTGGGCAGTTAAGTCTGTGAGACTTTTTTTTTTTTTTGGTCGGTCATGGGGCTTGAACTCTGGGCTTGGGCACTGTCCCTCAGCTCTTCAGCTCAAGACTAGCGCCCTACCACTTGAGCCATAGCTCCACTTCTGGTTTTCTAATGGTTTATTGGAGATAAGAGTCTCAGGGAGTTTCCTGCCCGGGCTGGCTTTGAACCATGATCCTCAGATCTCAGCCTCCTGAGTAGCTAGGATTACAGGTGTGAGCAGAGCCACCGGCACCTAGCTTCCGTGAGACTCTTATATTTAGCTAACCAGCAAACAGCTGGAAGTGGAGCTGTGGCTCAAGTGGTAGAGTACATTCTTTGGTAGAAAAAGCCAAGTGAGAGCATGGGGCCTTGAGTTCAAGCCCCAGTACTGGCACCAAAAAAAAAAAAAAAAGAAAAAAAGAAAAGAAAAGAAAGGAAGGAAGTGGGGAGGTGAGAGGAAAGAGAGAAGAAGAAGGAAGGAAAGAAAAAGAATTTTAGGTGATATAACAGCTTTGTATTCTTTTCTTTATCTTAGTCTCTGGCAAATATAGATGACGTCGTGAACAAAATTAGACTGAAAATAAGGTAAGTATTCTCATATGATTGTTAATTAAGGTAACATTGTTTGTTTAGTTAATCACTTGCTGAATTACAGTATTCCATGAGAACACTGAAATCTCAAATGAAAATGAACAATCACCAAGTATGAGGGTATAAGCCTATAATCCTCAGGATAAGAGGAGAATCTCAGGTTCAAGGACAGCCAGACCCTATCCCTAGACAGACAGATAAACAAGGTCTAGGAATATAGCTCCAGGGCTGGGAAGGTGGCTCAGTGGTAGAGCACTTGCCTTGCATGCATGAGGCCCTGGGTTCGATTCCTCAGCACCACATAAGCAAAAAAGAAAAAAGCTGGAAGTGGCGCTGTGGCTAAAGTGGTAGAGCACTAGCCTTGAGCTGAAGAGCTGAGGGACAGCGCCCAGGCCCATAGTTCAGGCCCCACGACCGGACCCCCCCCCCCAAAAAAAAAGGACTATAGCTCAATGCTAGAGCATTTGTCTACCATGCCTGAGGCATGGGTGCTAGTCTCAGCACCACAAAACAACAAAATAACATGCAATAACCTTGTTATGCTGGTTTCCAAATGAATCCTGTGGTAAGCCACTTGGTTCTTTGACTAGTCTTCAATTATTCATTAAAAAGGAAGAAAGCTTCTGTTCAAAACAGTTAACTATAAAAGGAGACAAAAACAATATTTTTAATGGCTTTATTTCCCTAGTGGCTTTACCTTTTTTGTATTCCCAAGGAGCAATTATGGAGCTGAATTTAGATTGTCCATCTGTTGGTTACCTACTAGCTAATCTATTGGTTGACCTGGATGATAGTCTGGGATTAAACATTGTGATAGCTAGGATTACAGGCATGAGCCACCAGTTCCCAGCCTGCTTTTAACTTTTAATGTGGGAAAACATCCATTTTGAATCCAGGAAATGAGTTTTTTCCCTATAATCTTTGGGTCTTTTAGTGTAGGCCTCTGCCCAGGAATGTTTTGTTCCATTGGTGCATTAAGTAGCAGAAAAGATTTTGAAGACTGCAGTTAAATGACAGCCCAGGGAAAAAAGTTCACAAGATTCCTTCCTAACCAAAAGGTGGGCCCAGAGGCATGTGTCTGTTATCTTAGGCACAATGAGAAACCTAATATAGAGAATAGTGCCCAGGCATATGCCAGGCAGGATATGAGACCTTCTATCTCAAAAGTAACCAGCAAAAAACAGGACTGGAAGTATGATTGAGCTGTATAGCACCTGCCTAGTAAGAATGAGGCCCTAAATTCAAACTCTAGAACCACCCTTTCTCCCTCCCAAAAAAAAAGAAAGAAAGAAAGAAGCTTCCTTATTGTTTTGTTGGACTTTAGCTATAACAGTTCTTATTTTATTTATTTATTTTTTGGTCCGGTTGTGGGGCCTGAACTCTGGGCCTGAGCACTGTCCCTCAGCTCTTCAGCTCAAGGCTAGTGCCCTACCACTTGAGCCACAGCACCACTTCCGGCTTTTTTATTTTTGCTTATGTGGTGCTGAGGAATTGAACCCAGGGCCTCAGGCATGCAAGGCAAGCGCTCTACCACTGAGCCAACTTCCCAGCCCCCTATAACAGTTCTTGTGAGACCTCAGTCCTCAGTTCCAGGGTAAGCTTAGAGAAGGGAAATTCCTTGATGTTTCAAAGATCACTTGTGATCTTTTCTACCTTTTCACTACCATATCATGAATGGATTCGTCAAGTGAATAATGAAACTGACTGACACACATTCTTCTGGTTGAGGTGCCATTCAATGGTCTATGTTAAGCCACAGGGAAAAGAGGATCTGGAAGCCAGAAATGGATCTCATACACATTGCATGTGTATGAGCACTTACTCCAGAGAGTAAGTGCTGATTTCATACATCATCCTGGCTCCTTCTAAGGTCATGGAGGAAGGATTTTGCTGGGGGTAATTTGAATTCTCTGGCTTATTCCTGTAAAACTTCTGCAACTTTGTCATTTCTGATTTACTCCATGAAGAACACTAAAGTTTTATTTGTCCTTCCAGACAACTCTGAATATTGAACAAAAACTGCCATTTTTTTTTTTTTAAAGACAAAGTTGATTCATCAGTCTGCACTAGGCTTGGCTTCTTAGACTGCTGTTGCTGCCCCCCTGGGTCCGAGGCCTCATTCTCAAATCACTCAGGTCTGGTGTTAGAGATAAAGAGTTAAAGTCTGCAGAAATTTTAGATAAATATTTTTTTTGGTCTACCTACGGTAGAGATTATTTGAATGATTTTTTTTTTTATCTTTTAACTTGTTTTGCTAGGAGACTGGATGACAATATTCGAACTGTTGTAAGAGGTCAGACAAATGTGGGACAGGATGGAAGGCAAGTAAGTAACGTATTCCTCCATACTAACTACATTCCCCTAATTCTTTTTTTTCCAGTCCTGGGGCTTGAACTTAGGGGCCGGGCACTGTCTCTGAGCTTCTTTTGTTTAAGGCTAGCACTCTACCACTTGAGCCACAGTACCACTACTAGCTTTTTCTATTTATGTGGGACTGAGGACTCAAACCCAGGGCTTCATGCATACCAGGCAAGTATTCTACTACTAAGCCACATTCTCAGCCCTCCCCTAATTTTTGAAGACACCAACGGCAAGGTGGCAGAGCATTTGCCAAACATTTTACTGATCTGTCCATGGATAGCATGACCTTCCACACCTGCATAGGAGCAGTAGGCTACCTAGGCCAGCCGTGAGTCCCATTCCATGTCCTCCAGACTAGGGTTATAAGGGCTGGGGCTTAACAGCTTCAGTAAACTAACTGAAGTGTCTTTGTCTTTCATCTTAGTGTCAGAAGTCTCTTGTGCCTTCCTTTATTTCATGTACTGTGGCTAAATCAAATCACTGCTTTTGTCTGTCAGCTAAGTTGTTGGGAGTTTTGCCATTACTTTTCTGCCTCAAAAGACAGTATAGCTAACAGCTACAGTTCTTTAGACCTAGCTTCTTTGGCCAACAGGTAACTGGATTCCTTTCAGAGTTTTAAGGTTCTTTCCAGTTCTAGGGCTGTTGTGAAGGAATAGAGGGACAAAGAAGCACATGAGGGGATAGTCCTCAGTGACTAAAAGGCCAGATGTTATCTATTAGCCATTTTCTTTTTTATTTGGATTCAGTTCTTCTTGTTAGGTGTCATATTTCAGAAATTGCTGTTATAACAGAAATGCTGAGCAAGCCTTTCCTCTCTGGTGTCTGGTTCCTCCTTCAATACAGATTCAGTAAGGAGCAGAGTGCACTGTTGTGAGTGCTTCAGTACTCTTATTTGTCTTCTGACATTTGCTAGTAGAGCTAACTTCTGAAATGTTCATTATGCTGCTTAGTGCAGGGAAGCAGACTATACCGTTTTTCCTTTGCTAATGGATGAAGGTGTTACAAGTGTCTTTTTCATTTTCAGATTTATCTATTTTTCCTACATTATATGACTTTGTTTCACTCTTAATAGTCCTATTGTTTTACTAACTAATAAGTAATCTATCTTCTTGGTTAGCACTTATGCGTTTATTTATACACAGATTAGTTTCTTAAAGTATTTCCTGAACTCTGCATGATCTTTAGTTTTTTGTTTTATTCTCATCTACGGAGTCTAGAAGCACTGTATTTCTGGCTGATGAACCCATGGAAACATGTCCCTTAGAGATAATAGTGTGCCTTCAGAGCTCCTCATTTTGCTGATTAACTTTTCCTAATACATGTCTGATCACATCATCAACCTCCTCAGAAACTTCACTGTCTCCTGGCATATCAGTGACATCATATGGGTTCTTTCACTTGCTGGCTTATCCCATCTATAAAACTCCTTTTGCTCCTTTTGTCTTGTATTCACACTGAAAACCAGGTATGCTACATGCATGCTTGTGCCTTTGCTCCCATGCTCTGTGCTTTCTACCTGGAATGTTTCTTCTCTCTGCAATAAAGTACTATTACTTTTTAGTGTGCATCAGCCTACACTTAGATTGGCTGACTAGAAACCTTAAAACATTTATGAGAGTCTCAGAGTTTTATTCTTTTGTTTTTGTATGTGCTGGCCCTGGGGCTTGAACTCAAGGCCCGGGTTCTGTCCCTGTGCTTTTGTGCTCAAGGCTAGCACTCTACCATATGAGTCACAGGTTTACTCTGGCATTTTTGGTATTTAACTAGAAAAAAGAGTCTCATGGACTTTTCCTGCTCAGGCTGGCTTTGAGCCATGATCCTCAATCTCAAGTTTCCTGAGCAGCTAGGATTATAGGTATGAGCCACCATCACCTAGCAAAAAGTCCCAGTTGTTAATAGTGAATGACTCATCAGATTTTTTTGGTTGGGTCATGCGACACATAGACAGATGGACAGACAGGCAGACAGACAGATATCAGGGACAGCACCCAGGTTCAAGTTCAAGATCCAGGACTGGCAAACAAACAAACAACCTTGGTTGCTTGCATTTTAACATTGGTCTCAGAGTAGCAGTATTGGAGAATCAGTCAGCCTAGAAATGGTCCGGCAGGCTGCAAGAATGTCCACCTTCACATGGTAATGGGTTACAGGTTGCTGCTGCAGGGCAGGTCATATTTCAGAGAGCAAGACCACATTTTCAAGAATGTTTAGATAGCATTTCAATCTGTGATGGAATTTTGTATTCGTCTCCTTAGAACCCAGACAGAAAGGAAGCCCAGAAGAAATAATTGCTTTTCCTGTCATCTTCTCCATCTGTCTTTTCCAACAGTTTATAATGCAAGCTGAAGTGGAGGCTTTTTTTTTTTCCAGGGAGCTTTGGGCCCTGTCCTTGTCAGTTCCTAGGGTTAAAAGCTTTACTCTGGCTGGTGGTTTACTAAGGGAGTCTCTTTTTGACTGGCACAGTCTTGGGAGAATTATGGATGTTCCAAAATATTGAGTTTTATAGGTCAAGAGGCCCATGTTCCCCTGTTCCCTGTAACACAGGAAAATTTTGTTTTCAGAACTTGCTTCCTCAGCTTCTGGGCAACCTCAGGAGGAGAGTGGTAATATGGACAAAAGGAAGTTTTCTCATAAACAGATGTGAATTTTAGTCTGTTTGAATAAGGAAACATGCTTACTTTGTATTGATGTTGTCTTAAAAGACTTTTTTTTTTGTCAGTCATGGGGCTTGAACTCTGGCCTGACCACTGTTCTTCAGCTCAAGACTAGCATTCTACCTCTTGAGCCACAGTGCCACTTCCGATTTTCTGGTAGTTTTTATTGGAGATAAGAGTTTTACTGCCTTTCCTGCCCAGGCTGGCTTTGAACTGTGATCCTCAGATCTTAGCCTCCTGAGTAGCTAGGATTACAGGTGTGAGCCATCAGCACCCAGTTTAAAAGACATTTTTAGCAGAAAACTTCTGTTAAAAATTAAGAGAGAGGAGGTAGTTTAGAAATTGAAGATACTATGTGGCCATCTCTTGAAATTCCTGAAACGCAAGCTGCCTGGTTAGTACTCTGCTAACCATTTTGTAGTCTTTGGATGTCCTATGTGTGCCAACTTTGAAATGATCTAATCCTGGAGATACTCTGTAAGAGACACTCTTACAGAGATTATATGGCACCAAGTCTTTTGTGTGTGTGGTGTGTGTGTGTGTGCGCGCGCGCGCGCTTGTGCACGTGCATGTATGTGCACATGTGTGTGAATGTGTACTGGTCCTGGGGCTTGAACCCGGGCCGGGGCCCTGTCCCTGAGCTTTTTAGCTCAACTACTGGCTTTTTAGTGGTTAATTGGAGATAAAGAGACTCATAGACTTTTTTGCCTGGGCTGGCTTTGAACTATGATCCTTAGATCATATAATCCTAGCTAGGATTATAGGCATGAGCTAGCTGCTAGCTCTCAGTGTCCTCTCTACTTTTTTTTTTTTTTTGTCGGTTGTAGGGCTTGAACCCTGGGCCTGGGCACTGTCCCTTAGCTCTTTAGCTCAAAGTGAGTGCTCTACCACTTGAGCCACGAGCCACTTCCTGCTTTCAGGTGGTTAATTGGAGATAAGAATCTCACAGACTTTCCTGCCTAGGCTGGCTTTGAACTGTGATCCTCAGATCTCAGCCTCCTGAGTAGCGAGGATTACAGGTATGAGCTACTGGTGCCTGGCTTCTCTTCACTTTTATCTATTGAAATCATCAGTCCAAAACTTTTAATTAATGACCATATGTTTGAAACTTTGTGAATAAAATGAGTCAATTCAACCAAACAAGTATATGATCTGGCACTATGAAATTCACACAGCTTCTCAAGAATTAAAATGGACAGCTGGAAAATAAGTAGAAAGAGCTGTGAACAGAAGAGCCAGTTAAAGGGGGAAGAAGCTGGCATGTAAAATATCAAGACTGGCTAGACCTTGATCAATTTCCAGTAAGTTTGCTGTGAATCACCAAGATTGCCTTTTTAGGCTTCCATCTACATTACTAATTTTTGTCTCCTCTAGTGCTGTATCCATACTGAAGCTTAGCCTTGTGCCCTGGGTTCCGTGCTGTAGCTGAAATGTTTCTGTAGTAGAATAGCATTGTTATAGTAGCTCAGCCACTAGGTTTCTGTTTCTTCAGTGGATCTTGGCTGCATTGTGATCATTTCTTTGATAAGAGTTTGTACAAGGTTTGGGAGGAGAAGAGAATTATTTCCCTCTCAGGTTCTGCTCACTAAACTTTAATTTGGAAGATGCATTGGATAATTGTGGAGTAGGCTTCCACCCAGTTCAGGAATTCTTTAGATAACTTCTCAGACAATTCATCATCCAGTAGAAACATGGATAGTTACAGCAGTGGTAAACTAGCTCACTACTTTATTAACCCCTAGGACATACTATTCCACGTTTGTACAGCTTTAATTGTAAGAGACTTCTTTTTTAGACTGACTGGAAATAGTGAAATAGACTTCTTTGAAACTGTTCTTGATCTTAATTCTGCCAGTTAAGCCACTGTGCTTAGGTCTAATTCCTCTTCCTTATCACAGCTTCTGAAATTCAAAGTATTGTGTTCCTTTGTAACGTTCTTTTTTTTTTTTTGTAACGTTCTTTTTTTAACCTGACATTTTAAGTTTCCTTAACTTTCTGATACAATTTTCTGTTAGCAGTTTGTTAGCATCTCCCCCTTAAAATGTGTTTCCCAGGAATTAACATACTCTATGACAGACAGAAGGACAATTCACTGGGGCTGGGAAGGTGGCTTAGTGATAGAGTGCTTGCCTTGCATGCATGAGGCCCTGGGTTTGATTCCTCAGCACCACATAAGCAAAAAGAAAAGAGCCAGAAGTGGTGCTGTGGTTCAAGTGGTAGAGTGCTAGCCTTGAGCTGAAGAGCTGAGGGACAGCACCCAGGTCCAGAGTTCAGGCCCCACAACTGGACCCCCCCCCCAAAAAAAAGCAG